GCCGTTCCTCACGCTAGCCCCCGGCCTCTGCTCACTGTAGGCCGCCGTGTGTGACTACTTTGTTTGGCCTTCCAAAAGAGGACACGAATAGAAATCGGTGGTTAAGTTGTATTTACAACACTGTTCCAGAACACTTCGACCCAAATATTCAGATGTGTGCAGCGCATTTTATGGAGGACTGTTTCCTGATCCTGGTAGAGTAGACTACAATGCCGGCAGTTCTGACTCACATGTAAGTACGTTTTTTATATTTAAAGGATTTGCCACTGACGATTCAAACGCGAGTTTTGAGCAGTGTAGAGTAGCGCTTGTTGTTTGTCATTTTTCCGGCAGACATGGTAGACATGGTTTTATGTTTACGCGGCGCGATGCAACGCAACGCGTAAAAAGACAGTATAAGTCCATAATTATGTCCCCACTGGATGCAACAAATGCCTCGTTTGTAATGGGTTTTAATGTTTTTGTCTCGTTGCTCCGGTCGGGCACGGCATCAACAGTATGGTGAGGGGCGTAACATGTCCGTCACATGCTTGAGGTATTCGGCGAATCACAACGCACTGGATAGCTGGCCAATCACAGCACACCTCGCTTTTTCAGACCAATGAGCTTTGTAAAAATCGACGCGTTTCAAAAAGGCGGGGCATAGAGGAGAAACAATAATGTACAGTATGTGGAAAATAATGCGTTTTTTTTACCTTAAACCGCATAAACCCAAATACACAAAATAATGTTCTTTTTAGCAGCATCATATGACCCCTTTAAAGATACTGATGAGAAGAAAGCTTAATTGTGATGTATGTTTAAAAAAAAAAAAACATAGAAGTTTGTTCAAAATACTAAACTCTGGGATTGAAAGAGAGACTCGTGCCATTTCTACAGACCAGAATATCACAGAGACTCTTCATTTGGGCCATTAAAGGAATAGATCAAGCAAAAATAAAATTTTCTATATACTCACCCTCAGGCCATCCAAGATGTAGATGAGTTTGTTTCTTCATCAGATTTGGAGAAATGTAGCATTGCATCAGTGTCTCAGCAATGGATGCTCTGCAGTGAATGGGTGCCGTCAGAATGAGAGTCCAAACAGCTGATAAAAACATCACAATAATCCACAAGTAATCCACAGCACTCCAGTCCATCAGTTAACATCTGGAGAAGACAAAAGCTGAAACAAATCCAGCATTAAGACGTTTTTAACTTCAAACCGAGTCCATAATCCATAATAACGCTTCCTCCTGTGAAAAAGCCCATCTGCTGTTGTCTCTCACATCAAAATCTACCTAAATATTTGTTTAGAGCTGTTTAAACGCTGCTTGATCTGTGCAGATTTCTCTCCTGATTCAGACCAGACCACTTTTTCACTGGAGGAAGCGTTATTATGGATTATGGACTCATTTTTTAGCTGGAAGCAACGGTTTGAAGTTAAAAATGCCTTAATGATGGATTGGTTTCTTACAAACACACAGCTTTTGTCTTCTCCAGATGTTAACTGATGGACTGGAGTGGTGTGGATTACTTGTGGATTATTGTGATGTTTTTATCAGCTGTTTGGACTCTCATTCTGACGGCACCCATTCACTGCAGAGCAAGTGATGCAATGCTACATTTCACCAGATCTGATGAACAAACAAACTCATCCTAATCTTGGATGGCCTGAGAGTGAGCACATTTTCAGATAATGTTCATTTTTGGGTGAACTGTTCCTTTAAGAAACCCTCCTCCTGAACACCTTCAGCATCACTGTGGGACGTTTCTGCACATTCAAGCACACTTCACGTTATAATATAAGCAAATGAACAGATGTTGTTTCCCTCACAGCTCCAAACTTGAGAACCCCTCCTCCGTTACTCAGACGGAGTCCAGATGTGTTGACAGACATCAGGCCTGTCGAATCCTGAGCCTCCCACAGAAGAGTTCCTTCAAAACCCTGCAGATGAAGACGAGTTCACAAACATCACGTCCTCCAGCACGAGTTAAATCAGCACTGATGCTGCAGTAACGTGTTATTCAGCATTCAGCTGCATTACTGATGTTTAAACAGACGCCAGACATTATAAATGCTCTTCTCTCATCGTGTCACCTTGGGGAGAATGAACTGCTCGACGGGTTTGTAAAACATCCCACCCACACGTGTGCCTGGACTCAGCGTGCTGAAGCAAGCGGTGACCACCGACTCCTGCAAACACACACACACACACACACACACACACGGCTGTAAACGTGTCAACAGGAACACCACAGACTGTATTTGCACAGCTGCAGAAGCTGATGTTCTCCGAATAAACGGTGACACGCACAAGTCAATATGTGAGCCTGGAGCACAAAAGCAGTGTTAAGTCGCTGGGGTATATTTGTAGCAATAGCAACAATACATTGTATGGGTCAAAATTATTGATTTTTCTTTTATGCCAAAAATCATTAGGATATTAAGTATAGATCATGTTCCATGAAGATATTTAGTAAATTTCCTACCGTAAATATATCAAAACTTAATTTTTGATTAGTAATATGCATTGCTAAGACAACTTTAGGACAACTTTAAAGATGATTTTTTGATTAGTATTATGCATTGCTAAGAACTTCATTTGAACAACTTTAAAGATGATTTTCTCAATATTTTGATTTTTTTGCACCCTCAGATTCCAGATTTTCAAATATTGTCCTATCCTAACAAACCATACATCAATGGAAAGCTTATTTATTCAGCTTTCAGATGATGCATAAATCTCAATTTCGAAAAAATTGGCCCTTATGACTGGTTTTGTGGTTCAGGGTCACATATGTTATTTCTGCATCCTCACCAGGCCTCCAGACGCCACATCTTACAACATTTTGTCCTGCTGGTGCGGTAATGGCATTTTAAGAATAACATGTGTCTCGTTAAGGCTGTTTTATACATCCTAAATGCACGCAAATAATATTCTTACACTTTTGCATGGCCAACTGATTAACTGCAAACTGATTTTTCTGAACCAGCAAACGTCATTTCCATCACATCATTTTTTTTATTAATAAATACTCTGTAAAATAAATAAAAAATAAAATAATAAATAAATAATCTCTCTATATATTTTCTGAACCAGCAAATGTCATTTCCATTACATCATTTTTTTTAATAAATAAATATTCAGTAAAAAAAATCTCTCTCTCTCTCTCTCTCTCTCTCTCTCTATATATATATATTTATATAAATAATATTATACACACATGACTTTAGAAATTCCGTAATTTTTCTGAACCAACAAATGTCATTTCCATCACATCATTTTTTGATTAATAAATATTCTGTAAAAAACAAATAAATAAAAGAATATATAAATAAATACATAAATAAATAAATACATATATTAATTCTCTCTATATATATTTTCTGAACCAGCAAATGTCATTTCCATTACATAATTTATTTTATTAATAAATATTCGGGTCCAAAACCACCAAATGTTTATGCTTCATTTTCAAAGCCTTGCTTATATGGTATCAGCCCATATATGGTATCATTTGAAAGCTTAGAGTCTCATCTTTACAAAGAACACCATAACTTTTATGATAGATAAAGTAGTCAAATTAAGCTTAGAAATGTATTTGTCCCACACACGAATTTCCGCCTAATGATTGCAAAGAATTTTTCCTAAGAAAGTGCATTTTAAAAAAATATATTTTTCACAAAACTGTCAAGTCATATATCACAAGAAAGCTCTCATTCTCAGGAATTTGACTTTGTAGTTTATTTCATTGTGTGACAATCACAGATCGAAAGGCTCCTGATCCGTATCATCACATCAGGCGCTCATGCATCAGTCTGTTGACTTCGACAAAGTGTGGAAATGTATTAAAGCGTGGCATTAGGCGATCTCTGATGATGAAAACTCACCTTAAAAAGCCAACAGGATACTTTGGGTTACTCTTGTGGCAAGAACAAACTGAATGACTTTACAAAGTGCAATCGTTGTTTCTAAAAGAGTGTAATGGAGGATGACTGTTCTATGCATATTTTACAGCACTGGTGGGTCGTGATCTGAAAATGGGTCACGGGTCTGTTCTGATCAGGTCAGAGAAGTCAATTATAAACTTTTAACGGGAAGAAATCATGCACAGTTTGTGTGACGCCCTCATCCTCAAAAACCATGGTTTGTTTGGTTTATTATATATATTTTTTATATTATTAAGTAATGATTTAAATTTTTATTTTCATTTGATTTAGTTTTGCAAATTCTAAATTCTTTAGGAAAATAAAACCATTGATAATAATAATAATAATAATAATAATAATAATAATATTTCACTTTATTATTAATGGATTATATTTATTATTAATGGATTATATTATTATTATTATTTAAATTATAAAAAATAATAACAATAATGATAACAATAATTATTCAATTACATTTTAATGTCAAAAATTTGTCTAATAATAGTAATAATATTAATTACTATCATTAGTGTTATTGTTAATAACACCACCACCACCACCACCAATAATAATAATAATCATTAATAATAATAATAATAATAATAACAACAACAAGTATTATTATTATTATTAATAAACAATCATTTAAATTAAAAGATAAATAATAATAATGATTAACTTTATTATTAATGGATTATGTTGTATTGGATTATTATTATTATTATTAAATAATTATTTAAATTCAAATAAAATAATAACAATAATGATAACAGTAATAAAAGTTATTATTATTCAATTACATTTTAATTTAAACAATTTGTATAATAATAGTAATACTATTAATCACTATTATTGTTAATAACACCACCACCAATAATAATAATCATTAATAATAATAACTATAATAATTATTATTATTAATAAACAAAATTAATAATAATAATAATAATGGTTTCATTTTATTATTAATGTATATTTTATTACATTATTTTACATTTATTACATATTAAGTAATGATTTAAATAAATTATTCTTATTATTTAAACAATCATTTGATATGAAATATAATAATAATAATAATAACCAAGACCAAAAAGACAGCACATATTGGTTAATTTGCATTGAGCACAATGCTGATCTGAAGTCAGGCTGATGTTTATACATTTACAAAATTGTCATTTTTCATCTGTCATGTTCATAACTGTGGATATGGTTGGGTCTGTGCAGTTCATTGTAATATTAATCATTTTTATTTGATTTTAAGGGCAGTTTTGTTTGTTTTTTGCTTTTGTGCTGTAATTATAAATCTCTTGTACAGTGCTGTTGAGTCCGATGTAAAATCCTTGAAGTGAACGCAGTTGAGAAGCAGTGATTTACAGGCTTCATCGTCTGATGCCTGATGCTGGTGACAGGGACAGACTCCAGACTGCGTTTGTGCTCGTACCTCTTGGTCCACCTGGAAGAGCCGGACCGTGACGTTGCCCCTGAAGTCGTCTCGCGGTCCGTTGGGAAAGACGCCCAGCTGGGTGATGACCACCGAGTGAAGGACCTTGAAGTCCAGACTGACGGCAGAGACATCGGAGGGCAGCAGTGCAGATGTGTCAGGAACGCTCAAGATAGCCATCTCCTGCCCAGCAGCTGAAACCAGAGTTCAGGGATCAGGGCAACTTCTGCTGAAATTAGTTTAGCAGGCACAAATAAATTCTTAAGAAAAATAAAACCACTAATAATAATAACAACAACAACAGTGGTTTTATTTCATTATTAATTGTTTATATTTTTATTCTATTATTTTTTATATTACTATTAAACAATGATTAAATTAAAATATAATTTAATAATAATAATAACGTATTATTATTCAGTAATACTGTAATTTAAATAATTTCTCTAATAATAGCAATAATTATAATTCCTATTTTTGCTATATTTTATATTTATATTTAATATATTTACTATCTTATATTTTATATAGTTATTATTATTATTATAAATAATGATGCAAATGAAAAACAATTTACATTTTTATTTAAAATTTAATATTTTATTAATAATAATGCAAGAAAAAAATACAAATAAAACCATTATTATTATTAAAAACAACAGAGGTTATTTTATTATTAATTGTTTACATTTACATACACTGAGAACTGAGCTTGAATTTCAAGTTAAAACCACAATTGTGCTTCAACACCCAGCTCACAGCAAACGTTCTCACCGCGCTTTTTAAACGTTATATAAATGTTAGGACAAAACATTGTTAAAGTCTCATAATGTTTAGACAAAACGTTTTTAGATCAATATTCTCAAAATGTTATTTGTCCTTGATGGACGTTTTTTTTTGGAACCATTAAATAACGTTATAATCATGAGAAGAAAACTGGACCTTTTAACGTTCTTAGAAAATGTTCTCAGGAATTTTAAGTATGTTCCTTGCTGATGAAAATGTGTTTAAATTTAAGGGGGTCTGAATACTTTCCGTACCCACTCTATATACAGTGGGTATTGAAAAGAACGACCCCCTTTAAAATAATCACATTTGTTGCTTTGCAGCCGGACACAGTTTTTGTTTTATTCTGTTATTTCTGTTGTTTCAGTGATTCTGTTTTTTATTTTTTTCTGACATGTTGGTGTTTTATCTTTCACTTGGATGTCATCAGTTGCACTGAGTAAATACAGCTGGATTAAACAAAAACTGTGTCCGTCTTCATTTCAGGCTGCAAAGCAACAAAATGTGATTATTGTAAAAGGGGGGTGATTCTTTTCTATACCCTCTGCATATATATATATATATATATATATTCACACGTGTTACAGACAACAAATAAAGTGAATGTATTTCCCTGGATTGAAATATATGAAGGGTAATTATATTTTTAAATGCTTTAAAAAATATGTATTTGTATTTTCATATTATATACAAAAAAGGGCCCAAAAATATATTGGTAGAAAATATATTTACATAAATATATTTAAGCAAATATATTTTGTGGCAATTTTCTGTATATTTTTAAATATATTTTTGAGCAATAAATTCTAATATTTTTTTCTAAAGCTACTTTTTTTGTAATGTTTATTCAATGCATTTCGCATTTAACACAATAATGCCTATCTTTTAGGGGGTAATTTCTCAGGCCAATTTAATTTGCAATTAATACAAATAATTAATCAGCACATCACTGAATTAATTAGATTAAACATTTGAATCACTTGACAGCCCTAGTTGTTACTTTTTAAACTCTTAAATGTTCTTTTGTGTTCCACTGAAAAAGTTTGAATTTTTAGAATATTCCATTTCAAATGAACTCTTCCTCTAACTGATGAAGATGAGGCTAAACCATGAAAATGCACAACAGAAGCTGGAATCACAATGCTATAACGGGATGTCCCACTGAAATCTGCTGGAAGCCTAAACATGCTGACTACTTAGAAGAGAATCCGAGTGCACACTGTGATTTCAGGCCACAAGCTGCGAGGTTCATGTCCGAGCGCAGGTCTATGAAATGAATAAGTCCAGTATCGCACAGAGGAAACGAGGCAGAAAAGCTTATTTTTTTGAAAACACAAATGGCCTGATGAGAATTGTAAAGTATATATAAAATGATATAAGCCTCGTGAAAACGGACTGCTCTGAATTCAGGAACATCTCAGGGCTTCTGGCTTGATCAGAGTGGAGTTGGTAAGATGAATTCACCTGTCTCCGTGAGGTTCAGCAGCGAGCAGGAATACGGGTCTTCACGATCTTCCTCCGGCACAGAACAGCCATGTTCACCGATGATGAATTTCACCATCACCCTTTCAAATAAAACGACATCAATACATCATTCTAGACTTCTAGTCAGTTTTTGAACATTAAAGCATGTCAACATATTCTGTTACACCAAATACACAAAATAATGATCTTTAAAAAAGCATCATATGACCCCTTTAATTGTTCATGGTTGCCGAGCAACATCACAATCTGCTGCATCAATACAGATGTGCATCACAGATGTGTGTATATGGGCTATTTTACAGCGGTTTGCTGAATGTAGAGTCTGTTGTACAATATTAATTATTAAAGAGAGGACTCAAGTGTGTCATAATGTAAAGCTGTTTTTTCACCGATCATTTATTTGTTGCACATCGTCTGATCTTTTGTTTTGTGTCCATTGATTTAGACTGAAACCAAATATTTTATCCTACATGTGTAAGCACATGGCTATTAAAATAAATAATTTATAAATATTATTTGTAGTATTTTTGGGCTGCAAAAAATATTTTAGCTTTTTTTTCATTATTTTCAACCCACACGGTTATTAAAATAAATAAATAAACTGTACATTAACATAATTGTTTTGTTTTTTTTCCAACTGTCATGATATATGACTGTTATAATACTGAGATGACATTTAGGTCTTATCACACACCCCTAATTGTCATATTTAAAAAATAAAATGCATAGAAGGTTAAAAATATAAATAAATATAAAAAACATAAAATATTATAAATATTAACCTTAAACACATATGCATACATATGTATATGTGTGTTTAATATATTAATATTTATAATATAATTAGTATAGTAACAGTAATAATATTTTTTAAATGCAAGTATTTTTGGATGCAATAAACTGTCATATTTTAGCTTTTTTATCACCATTTTCCACCCACTCTCTGACCCTTAGAAATAAACATTATGGGTTTTTTTTTTGCTCAAAATGCTGTGGCCTTCAAACATCCAATATATAATATTGCAGCTTCTGATGAGAACATGCAGCATACTTTCAAACATATTCATTTATTCATAATAAAACTGTGCAAAATTGACTAGCAGCAGCGCTGGGCTGTGAGTCGTACATTAAATCATGTTTGATCTATTTTAATGAGCATTTGCCTGAACCTTCTTTAAACGTGGAATATTTATAAAGATTTTTATAAGGTTCGATAAAGTTGCAGGCCAAAACAAACAGCAAAAAAAAAAAACTCATTTTTTTAAGTCAATAACACAAGCCTAATCTTCTGAAATCAATCAATGTCTGTCTGAATCTGAACTGAGAGTTTTAATGAAGCAGAAATGCACATGCATGTTTGCGGTACCGACCGTTTCTGGAAGTGAGGGTGGTGTTTAAGGTACCCCAGCCATGTGTCTCTTATGGCCTGCCGGAGCTCATGATGATGCCGTGCTGATAAAACACCCACCAACACCTCATGCACTGCCTTCTGGTTGTCTATCAATGCAATATTGAACAGAAACACAATAATCAGCACCAAAACAGAGCCTGATGATATTCTCCAATGCTGCAAATGTTTCAAACATGCAGAAAGCCTTTTTAAAGGAATAGTTCATACAAACATGAAAATATACTGTTGTGGATTACTGTGATGTTTTTATCAGCTCTCATTCTGACGGCACCCATTCACTGCAGAGCATCCATTGCTGAGACACTGATGCAATGCTACATTTCTCCAAATCTGATGAAGAAACAAACTCATCTACATATTACATGGCCTGAGGATTTTTAGCAAATGTTCATTTTTGGGTGAACTGCTCCTTTTTAAAAAGGCTTTTCCGGCAGGTTGAAGGCTCAAACACAGAACAGATGATGCAGCCAGATGAAAGTCTCTGGCAGCGGCCTTTTGTATCCCTTAATGGATTGTCACTTGTGTCCTATTTCACCATGTGTGACAAACATCAGAGCAAGTGTGTAATGTGCATCTGTGCCTTTGTTGCCAGGTAAACCTCTCCCAGAGTTCAGTGAGATCTCAGATACTTTCTACACTCTCTCTTCTATTGCACACGACTTCACGTTCAAATCCAATACTTTCTTCAATCCGATCTCTGTGGTTAACAAGTGGCCGGCATCTGCGTGCACAGCACATTAATGCAGCCTTCATCTAATGCATTAATTGCACATCTCAACCCCCCAGCAGAGCCCATTAGTGATATAAATAAGTAAATTGCTGCAAGCTGTTCAACATGCTTAGATCCTTAAAGTGCAATGGTCAATGCATTCAATATTAATGCTCTTATGCATGCAGTCAACATTAAAGTTCTATATGCACTGGGCATTATGTATTCATATATAAACACAACACACACTATATATATATATATATATATATATATATATGTATGCACTGAGCATTTATTTAAATTTTATGCTTTTATATATATAAAAGTATTCATTGTTCTATAAGAACTGAGTAATAATGTTCTTTATATATTGATCATTAAAGTCCCATATGCATATGCATCAGTCTATAAGTTATACTAAATGATGATAGATAGATAGATAGATAGATAGTAGATAGATAGATAGGTAGATAGATAGATAGATAGATAGATTCATGTGTAGACCATTAATACTGAATGCATATGGAACTTTAATATATGTGTATAATATATGTGAATATGCATTCATTTTCCAATAATAATTTATCATTAATGTCCTATGAGCGAACATTATTAATGTTATTTTTTATGCATTGATCATAATGCATTTATTTTTATGCATTCTACATGCACTCAGCATTAAAATTCTATGCATTAATGGTCTATACATTATAATATGGTAGATATAGTAGTAAGGAGTAGTAAGAATTTCTATGCATTAATTGTTGTCTATTAAGCTACTGTATGCATCATACCGAAACACTTTCTATTCAGCACAAGCTGTCATGCCTGAAAATAACAGACTAATAGAGAAGAACAGAAAGTTGAGCGGTACCTGCGGAGCCGAAGCCCAACAGGAGCGCAGTTCTGTCCGTCCAGCCGAACCAGTGGAGCAGCACCGCGACGACACACGGAAACAGCGCCGCTGCTGCGCTTCTCATGGACGGACGGCTGGATCCAGACACCGACGCTTAACGGGCTGCGCACACGACCGAACGCACCAGCGTCCCGACGCGCATCGCGGAGTTCTGATGAGTGTCGGACGCGCCCGCGTCACGTCTAACTGCACGCTGATGACGACGACACTCAGGCAGCCAATAGGAGTTGAGCGGTCGACGCGCTGTACCTTCTGGGAAACGTAGTTCAATTAAGTTTCCTGTTGCCATGACGATTACGTCAAATTAGCGATTGACTTTTCTTTTTAATAACAAAAAAGTGCATTTGCGTTTAACCCGAATATTCTAAAACGTATATAAATATATTTTAGATGGCAAAATAAAATAAAATAATTTAAAATATTTATATTTAAAATATTCTTTTCTCAAAATCACTTACTAGTGTTCTCTGGGAATAATTTTTTTTCGCAAATAACTTAATTTTAATTAATTAAATTTCTAGAGCACTTTCATAAACCACAATGGGTACCAAAGTGCTGTACATGAAAATAACAAAAATAAACAAATACATACAACCAGAATACATACAGTTTCATACACACATTATTAAAAGCTAAGGAAAATACATACTTTTAACACTTTAAGAGTAAAAAAAAAAAATAAACGATTTACACAGTCAGAAATATATCATGTACATAAACAATGTTCTCATGAATATGGTATATGTCGAACATCACCTGACCAAACCCGGAAAACAGGGGCAAGTTCAAGCTCAAACCGGTGTGCACCGTTTTGCTCATCAGGCTGCGCAAATTCTTCAAACAGACCACAAAGAATGTCCTTCTCAGCTGCCATAGTTGCAACTCTTGCATCATCAGAACAGTGTTGAACGCACCACCGTTTCCGTTTAAAACACGTTTTGCACCGTTTTTGTCGGACTGAACGCAGCCCTGGTCTCATTGCTTCCGCTTGTCGGAGAACGTGTTAACAGCCGTATTAAATAATAGCGACATCTATGGCCTTTTAAGATAATCAGTTAAACTAGCTAGCTGTTTTTATTGTTGACGTTTTATTATTTGTCTCCTTGTTATTTTAAAATGATTAGTGTGCAATACTCTGTTGTACCACTAGGTGTCTCCCTTGACAACACACTTTCACTACGTAATTCTATTTTAAACTTTTTTATTTATTTTTTATCAAGGTTTGTTATTGTCAGAGCAAACATCAAATCAAGCACACCATTCTTACAATGCAAGCACACTAGATATCGAATGCAGACAGTTTTAAAATGTTTATTAATTTGTACAACTGCACAGATCTACACATTCAGACTTCTAAAAGAGAAAAGTGCAGAAAAGCACCAACAAATCCATACATTTAGGCATTGATTCCATTACAAGGTATCTCAAAGTTCTAATACTTAAATAGGGTAATCAGTCCATGCAAGTTATGTTTTTATAATCATATTATTAATAATAATCATAATATTATGTAAAAGACAATTTACATGTTGGGGTTTATTTGTACCGTAATTCTGTAGAAATCAGCTGGACTCCATTCGCCTGTAAAACCAACAAACCCTCATTCTCACTTACAACACATGAAGCATTAGCGCTATTATAAAAGTAAATATCAAGCGTTTAGAACACAATATCATTTTGAATACCCACCCTACAAACACACTCTTTGCTTCCTCTGAATTTAAAGGCGATCTCATGCAACATTAGCATTTCAAATATACCACTTTTTGAGGTGGATCTCCAGATATAAGATACGTTTGGGAGTCAAAAAGACCCTCCGTCCACCGTGGCACACTTTAAAGGGGCTTTAATACAGGTTACACAAGCAACACCTCAATCAGGTGCTGCGCATTAGATATAATAACACTTGGTTTCGTATAAATTAGCAAAGGCTAGACTAAAATTACAGTGATATAAAGAAAAACATTTGACATTGTGCTTTTTTTTTTGTTTGTTTTGAATAGGAAAAAGCCTGTGAAATAACAGTGTAGAGGACACGCCATAGTCACAGTACTTGGCACTCAGAAACCACCTCTATATACACACACACACACAGACAGACACACACACTCACACACACACACACACACACACACACACACACACACAGGCTCTCCGTTTGGCATTTCAGTCAAAGGCCTTGCTGTTTAAATCAAAAACTATTGTGAAGCATGCCAGTGTTAGTAAGGCCATTCAGCAAGTGTGAAGAAATCATTATCATTAGCGGGATGTGATTTTAGGAACGAATCTGCCTGTTTTCATGTGGGAAGAGGTTTGTCATTGCATAAAAACGACATTTAAATCTAACTCAGATTGAGGTGGTGTGTGTCTTTTCTTTTATATTAAAGGAATAGTTTTGGCAAAAATTAATGAAAATATGCTGATTTAGTCACTCTCAGGCCATCCAAGATTAGAAACCAATGAGTTTGTTTCTTCATCAGATTTGGAGAAATGTAGCATTGCATCACTTGCTCTGCAGTGAATGGGTGCCGTCAGAATGAGAGTCCAAACAGCTGATAAAAACATCACAATAATCCACAAGTAATCCACACCACTCCAGTCCATCAATTAACATCTGGAGAAGACAAACAAATCCATCCAAAAAAGACTTTAACCGATGAGCTTTGTAAAAATCGACGCGTTTCAGAAAGGCAGGGCATAGAGGAGAAACAATAATGTACAGTATGTGGAAAATAATGTGTTTTTTTAACTTTAAACCGCATAAACACATTGCATTACACCAAATACACAAAATAATGTTCTTTTTAGCAACATCATATGACCCCTTTAATGCTGGATTTGTTTCAGCTTTTGTCTTCTCCAGATGTTAACTGATGGACTGGAGTGCTGTGGATTACTTGTGGATTATTGTGATGTTTTTATCAGCTGTTTGGACTTTTTGTAGAGTTTGTAGAGTCACTTATAAGTGAGCCATTTGTAGGTTGATTTCACTGAAAAGCCTAACACTGTTATCGGCACACACTTCTGTCCTGCTCGATTTTATACTTCAGATGGGGCAAAAACACATCTGTACGGTCGAGACCTCATACAGACGCAACACCTCGAGGGCAAACGCATCCCAGAAACCAGCATGAAGATTATTGTTGAATGTCTGAGTTAAAACTGAACTGATTCAGATTCAGTATCTCGGGTCTGAAGGCTGAAAGCTGTATTCATATCACAAATGTTGAGGAGGCCTTTTCAGCAAGGATACATTTTTATCACAATGTAATTTGGAAATTGGATAAGATTTGATTTCGCATAAGCTGATTAGAAATATCTCAAATATCACCATACCGGAAAATGGGGAGAGATGGAAAATTATCCAAATGAAAATGCATTACAAGTCAAATGCTTGGACACATCTGCTCGTTCTTTATTATGACTATTATTTCTTCTGCTCACCAAGGCTGCATTTATTAGATCAAAAATACAGTATAATATTGTGAAATATTATTAGAATTTAAAATAACTGTTTTCTATTTGAATATATTTTAAAATGTAATTTATTCCTGTGATGCAAAGCTGAATTTTCAGCAGCCATTGCAGGATAAATGTAATGAAATGGTCATTTAAATCTAATTTAAATCTAAATACAGATAAAAGTCAAAAGTTCGGATGCATCTACTCAATCTTTATTACGAGTAATATTCAAAAACAGAAAATAGTCATGAAACCTATGAAATAAAACAAATGGGAGTCTGTGAATGATGTAGAGATCAAAATATGCGACAAATGAAATCTCTCTTATATTTGAGCTGCTTCTTTCATGCTTTGGACATTCAAGTTTTAAAATGATTAATCAAATTCCAGTTGTCAACAAAACTAATTTAAAACATGGAGAGAATGATTTTTTTTATGAAATCTATAGATGGATAATTATTTGCAATAGCAAGAAAAATGGATTGTTTACAACTTCATGACCACTGTATGATTTAACATACATTTCCATCGATATCATTCATGTATGGATGCATAGGTAACGACTGTTATATTGAGTTCTGTTGTTTTTGTCCTCAATTTAAATAAAAAAATAAAAAAACGAATTTAAATTACTAATGCATGTTTTTTTGAAGCCTCGCTCAAGTGTGTCCAAACATTTGACCAGTGATGCATATCAAATATAGCGTAAGTTTATAAAAATGTCTAAATACATTGCAAAACAGCCACCTCTCGGGGTTTCACATCCTCTGTGGCACGAGAAATGAGTCAAAACGAAACGAAAACACACAAATCTCTCATCCCATAAGCAGTGAGAAAGGCTGTTCTCTAAATACGAAGCAATGACAAACCTATTTAACGAGACATGAGACGCTCTGACTGGGTTGCCAGTTAATTGACTCCCACCCCAAAAACCCCCCACAGGCGTCCGGGAGGGATCGGACCATCAACAGATGCGCGGCTGCCACTCAAACACAGCTCAGCGGCAGCAGCCAGGGACGTGGAAACCTCACGGCAGAACCTGCAGCCCGGCCCGGCCTCAGAGGATGGTGCAGAAGAACTTCTTCTCCCGGAACGGGTTTTCTGAGGCCGGGACAGGCACGATGAGCGGGTCCTCTCGTATATGAGCGTCACAGTACGCCATCAGATCCGCCGCGGCCTTGGACACCTGAGGACAGAGTTAGGGGTTTAGATATCGCATAGATTTTGAAAGAAGTCTCTTCTGCTCACCAAGGCTGCATTTGATTTATTTAAAAATACAGTAAAAATTCTGAAATATTTTTACAGTTTAAAATAACCGACATCTACTTTAATATACATTCAAATGTAATTTATTCCTGTGATCAAAGCTGTATTTTCAGCATCATTACTCCAGTCTTCAGTGTCACATGATCTCCAGAAATCATTCTAATATGCTGATTTGCTGCTCAAGAAACATTTCTGATTATTAGCAATGTTGTAAACAGTTAATATTATTGTGTAAATATTAATAAAAAGTTCAAAAGAACAGCATTTATTTGAAATATAAATCTTTTGTAACATAATAAAGGTTTTTACTCTCACTTTGGATCAATTAAATGTGTCCTTGCTGAATAAATTAAGATTTTTTTATTTTTTATTTTACTTTTTTAATGGTAGTGTGTCATGGTTTCCACAAAAATGTGTAATATATATATATATATTTTTAAAATAAAAATAGAATGATTTCTGAAGGATCGTGTGGCACTGAAGACTGGCGTAATGATGCTGAAAATTCATCATAATTAAATTACATTTTTGCATATATTCAAACTGGAAACAGTTATTTTAAATGGTAATAATATTCCACAATATTACTGTTTTTACTGTATTTTTGATCAAATAAATGCAGCCTTGGTGAGCAGAGTTTCTAAAACATAAAAAAAAAATCTGAATGATTTCCACCTTTCCCCCTCTTCCCTTCCACCTTTGGTATCATAGGTAAACAACAACAATAATAATAATAATTATTATTATTATAAAAACAATATTTTCATCTTATTTTTTTTCTCACATCACATTACAATGCTTTGGATCATCCAGGACATTGTAGTTCAGCGAACAGCCATGAACATAATCTGTGCTTAACTCTACTGTATACCTGACCATCTCTCTTCTAATAAACTGATCAATAAACGAGCATCAGTATCTGCTTCTCATCAGCAGCCAAAGAACACCCTCATATCCGGCAGAGGGACAGACACTGAGAAAACAGCACTGGGTCATGGTTTTACAGTGTTAGCTGACTGCTGTACAAAAATATCTAGTCTATGCAAAGACAAAAAAAGAAGTGAAAGAGGACGATTTTAGTCGGCAAATGTCACGCTGAATAAACACGCCAAAACATGACATTTATCACAGTCCATTATGTTCACTGCTATTTCTAGGCCCCTTTGTAGAATTTTGGCCTAAAACAGTCAAGAGTGAAGCACACAAACATACTGCCTCTTTCTGATCTTAAAAAGCCTGATAAAAATACAAACTATTAATTTCATTATTCAAATTATTCAATACCGTTTTTGTCACAATGCACTTAGAGGAACGAGGAGACGCTGGAGAATACTTTAACAAGACTTTATTTTCATGAACCAAGGGAGACGAACTCAGGAAGACGTTTAACAGCGGACCGAGAATTAGGGACTGGGAACACTTTTTATACACACAGGAGGAGGGGATGACGAGACACACCTGGGAGCAATGAAACATCAAGGGAAACACCTGGGACAAATTAAACATGGGAAAGGAAGGCACATGAGGAGCAAAACAACCACAAAACACGGAACAGAGTCTGACAGTTTTGCCTTTATATATATATATATATTAAAAAACAAAAAACTTAAATTTTTCTTTTAAAAAGACATTATGAAATGTCCATACTTCCAACAGATATTAAAAATAATTAGAAAGTTATTAAGTAAGTAATTGTTTATCTAATTTGCTGGTTGCTATCCGCCTATACCGGTAATACTGCTGTTTAGGGTTGCAAAAAGGTGGAACATTTCCAGTAAATTTCGGAAATATTCCAGAAATTTTGGAAATTTTCCAGGATTTTGTTTTTGAATATTCCAGGGATTTTTGGAAATTTTCCACCCCTTTGCAACCCTACTGCTGTTTAGGTGGTGATATGGGATTTTTTTTTTCATACAAAATAACGCAAACAGCTCAAATTAAACGTTTGAATTAAATTATTTTTTTACTTAAAATCAAAACGAAGGAGAAACATGAAAGTAAATGACGTGTTATAGACAGTGGTGTTTATTTACCAATATTCACTGGAGCTTGGAAAGGGACGACGGGGGTCATTTTAGATGACCTTTCGGATGCATTTAATTATAAAGCCCTTCATAATCTGTAATAACATTAAACTTATTTCATATTTTCTCTAAACCTTCTTGGATATCAAGACAGGCACTCTGCAATTCTGGCCAAATTAAAGATACGTTGTGCATGAATTTGCACATGTTTTAATGTAAGCATCATTAATGACCCCTTGTGTTTAATAATAATAATAAAAAAAGATTGATTAGTGAAACGAAAGAATGATTTAATAAAAATGAGAATGATTAGTAATTGTCTCTAATTGACCTGATTAGCTAAGCCTGCAAAACACTTCTTATTTATTAGAGGTACAGTATTGCATCATTTGTAGATTATATCTAATAGTTTACACTTTGCATAAACATTTGCAATTAGTTTTTAAAAGCTAACATTACATTCTTCAGGACTCAATGCTTACATTTCTTTTTAGGAGCTCTTGTGCTTCTACTTAAAAAAAATAAAATAAAATTTAGGAACACCTTCTGGGTGTCTTTTGGGTAAAAAAAAATGTATTTATAAACTTTTATCAAAAATTGTAATTCAACAATAATTTCAATGAAAATAATAAGATACAATCAGGAAGAATAAGTTACCAGTCAAATGAAATCAGCATCAACAATTGATCTTTTCACTGGGAAGTGCACAGAAGAACACAAATGAAGGAATATTTACAGACTGTGTAACGAGACTCAGAGGTGAATGTATTTAAATTCATAACAACAATGTTATGAAATGAATGTTTTAAATATAAAGTTTTGAATATAGAAATATTAAAGGATTTAAATAACTCAATTTATACTTTAAAAATGAAACTGAAACCGCCAGTAGGTGGCAGCAAATCACTGTCTTTGTCATTGAATCATTCATTCAATCGATTCGTTCAAACGAAAATCGATTAATTTAGGAACGAAGTGAACTGTCCGAATGAATCAAACTGAATCGCGAACCAGTTCAGACTCGTTTGACTGATACAAAGAATCGTTTCAAAGGAGTGAATCTGGAATCACTAGTTCTGATTCTAAACAGCTGATAGAAAAATTATTAGGTCAGTATAAGGTAATTTATCAGTAATACAAGAATAATATGAGTAATATAAGTCATATTTGATATTACTTAGAATAATATTTTCAATTCAAGTAAGTCTAGCGACGCCACTAATGGCAAGACTTGGCTCTTTGAAGGTCAGTTCAACTGAAACTTTGTAAAAACTGACATGAACCTATAACTTGGCCAACAAACCTGTTTGTTCAGAATGATGCAGTCAGTGGTATATAATTTATGAACAGCTCATATTGTGTTGTTTGTCAGAGGAGCACGAGCGTGTGTGGTCCAGTAAAGAGTCTGAGAGCTGATGATGAGAGAGACGCAGCTGTCGGACGGGAATCATCAGCTTCAGTGGTGTGTGTGACGCTCACAGCCAGATGGAACAAAAGTCACAAACACACAAACATCACGCTGAACAAACAAACTACATTTCCCATCTTCTCAAGCACTGGAACACTTACATGAAAGAACCTAAATATACCACAGTATTACTATGTTTTTGGACATGCACCATGATAATTCCTCGAAATACACTGGATGGATGGATGGATGGATGGTTGGATGGACGGACGGACGGATAGATAGATGGATGGACGGACGGACGGACAGATGGATGGACGGACGGATACAGATAGACAGATAGATAGATAGATAGATAGATAGATGATAGACAGACTGACAGACAGACAGACAGACATGACAGACGGACGGACGGACGGATGGATGGACGGACGGACGGACAGACATATGACAGACAGATGGTCCAGTAAAGAGTCTGAGAGCTGATGATGAGAGAGACGCAGCTGTCGGACGGGAATCATCAGCTTCAGTGGTGTGTGTGACGCTCACAGCCAGATGGAACAAAAGTCACAAACACACAAACATCACGCTGAACAAACAAACTACATTTCCCATCTTCTCAAGCACTGGAACACTTACATGAAAGAACCTAAATATACCACAGTATTACTATGTTTTTGGACATGCACCATGATAATTCCTCGAAATACACTGGATGGATGGATGGATGGATGGTTGGATGGACGGACGGACGGATAGATAGATGGATGGACGGACGGACGGACAGATGGATGGACGGACGGATAGATGGATGGACGGACGGACGGACAGATGGATGGATGGACGGATAGATGGATGGATGGACGGACGGACGGACAGATGGATGGATGGACGGATAGATGGATGGATGGACGGACGGACGGATAGATGGATGGATGGATGGACGGACGGACGGACGGACGGATGGATGGATGGATGGACGGACGGATGGATAGATGGATGGATGGACGGACGGACGGACGGATAGATGGATGGATGGATGGA